GGGTAGGGAGCTCACAGTCTGAGTTCCCCTTAGTTAGCTGTAGGGTTCAAAAAGGGAAGGTCCCGTTCCCTGGAGGTGCCTCCGGCTGGTGGCTGTATTATCTCTTTGGGCAGCCGCGGGTAGGGTCGGGGGACGGGAGAAGGAGGCAATATGGTGCCTGCCGCGCGTCTCGGGTCTGTGCACATGGAGGTGCCCCGAGGCATTTGGGAGCCTTGTGCCATGTCCACTACAGGCTCACCGCTAGCTGGCGGTGGCCATCTCTGGGCTGGTGTCCGCAGGTCTCTCCACCTGCTGGGGAGCCCACCAGCAGTCCCAGATGCAGGGGAGGGGAAACGGCTCATCCACCTACCCTTGCCGCTGGTCTCCGGGCTGCTCCCGTGGTCTCAGCTTCCAGTTCTCCTCCGCAACCTCTTCCCGTGGAGTCTCTCAGGGTCTCAGGTACCCCTCCTTCCGGCCCTCGTCCGCTGTATGCTCGTCTTCTTGCTTCTTTTTTCTAATTTCTACTAGAATCTGTCTTTTCTGCAGAGACACTTTGTCTGGCGGCGTTTCTCGTCCGCCATCTTGATCCTCCCCCTTCTTTCTGTTTTTGAATGTATGTTTATGCTCTTGGAAGATCTGTGCTGCAGGCCTCCCTGGTGCCCAGTTTGGAATATTTGGGAGATAAACAGAAAACCCCAGGGAACCCACCATAGTGTCATCTCTCAAAGTCCTAAGATGCTTAACCAGTCTGCTGCCTCTTTCCAGATTTTAGAATCGTTTTATGATTATCTCTGTTGAACTATTTCCAAAATATTTAGTTGTTTTTAGAAGGGGGGAGGAGGAGAGAAAAGTGAATCCACACCCTTTTCTATTGCATGCATTTAGAAATATTATAGTACAAGACACATAGCATAAAATTTACCATTAGTGATATTTAGTATGTTCATAAAGTTGTGAATCCATTGTTACTATGTAGTTCAGAACATTTTTGCTACTCCAAAAGGAAATCCTATACCCATTAAGCCATCACTTCCTATTTCTACCCCCCACCCCCACCCTGCCCCTGGCAACATTTATGTTTGCTTTAATCTGCTGTCTCTATAGACTTTACTATTATGGATATTTCATATAAATGGAGTCATATCATATGTGGTCTTTTGTGACTGGCTTCTTTTACTTAGCATAATATTTTCAAAGTTTGTCCACACTTAGCATATCTTATTAATAGTACTTTCTTTCTTTTTAAGGCGGAATAATCCATTATGTGGATATACCATATTTTGTTTATCCATTCATTTGTTGATGGATATTTGGGTTGTTTCCACCTTTGGCTCTTGTAAATACTGCTGCTATAGACATTTATGTACAATTTTTGTTGGAACACCAATTTTCAATTCTTTTGAGTATACACCTCAGAGTGGAAGTGCTGTGTCATGTGTTAATTCTATGGTAAACTTTTGAGGAACCACCATGTTTTTTTTCCAGAGGCTGAGAGAACCATTTTACATTCCAACCAGCAATGTCTGAAGGTTTCAATTTCTCCACATCCTCATCAACACTTGTTATTTTCCATTAAAAAAATTTATAGCCTAGTGGGTGTGAAATTATATCTCATTGTGGTTTTGATTTGCATTTCTCTAATGACTAAAGACCTTGTGCATATTTTCATATATTTATCAGCCACTTGTATATTTTCTTTGAAGAAGTGTCTATTTGAGTCATTTGCCCAATTTTTAATTGGGTTGCCCTTTTGTTGTTGCATTGGAATTCTTCATATATTCTGGATACTAGAGCCTTATCAGATATATGATTTGCAAATATTTTCTTTCATTCTGTAGACTATCTTTTTACTTTTTGATAGTGTCTTTTGATGCACCAAACTTTTAAATTTTGTTGATGTCCAATTTATCTATTTTTTCTTTCTTTTTTTTTTTTTTTTTTGAGATAGAGTCTCACTCTGTTGCCCAGGCTAGAGTGCCATGGCGTCAGCCTAGCTCACAGAAACCTCAAACTCCTGGGTTCAAGCGATCCTCCTGCCTCAGCCTCCCGAGCAGCTGGGACTACAGGCATGCAACACCATGCCCGGCTAAATTTTATATATATATATATATATATATATATATTTTTTTTTTTAGTTGTCCAGCTAATTTCTTTCTATTTTTTTAGTAGAGACAGGGTCTTGCTCTTGCTCAGGTTGGTCTTGAACTCCTGAGCTCAAATGATCTGCCCTCCTCGGCCTCCCAGAGTGCTAGGATTATAGGCGTTAGCCACCATGCCTGGCCTATTTTTTTCTTTTTTGCTTATGTTTTTGGTGTCATATCTAAGAAATCATTGCCAAATCCAAGGTCATGAAGATTTACTCCTCTGTTTTCTTCTAAGAGTTTTCTAGTTTTAGCTCTTACACATTGGTCATTAATCCATTTTGAGTTAATGTTTGTGTGTAAACTTCACTCTTTTGCATGTCAATATCCAGCTGTGCCACTACCATTTATTGAAGAGACTGTTGAAGAGAACTCTTGAGTTCTCATCCTTGTCAAAAATCAACTAACCATATATGTCTGGGTTTATTTCTGGATTCTCAATTCTATTCCATTACCCTATATTATATATCTGTCCTTATGCCAGTATCACACTGTTTCATGAAATTATTATTATTATTTTTTGAGATAGTCTCATTTTGTTGCCCTGGCTAGAGTGCAGTAGTGTCATCACAGCTCACTGCAACCTCAAACTCCCGGACTCAAGCGATCCTCCTGGCTCAGCCTCCCACGTAGCTGGGACTACAGGTGTGTGCTACCACGCCTGGCTTATTTTTCTATTTTTTTTTGGTAGAGACTGAGTCTCGCTATGTCGGTAGGCTGGTCTTGAACTTCTGGCTTCAAGTGATCCTCCTGCCTTGGCCTTCTGAAGTGCTAGGATTACAGGTGTGAGTCATCACGCTTAGCCTCATGCAATTTTAAAGGCAGATCTTTATGGCGTACTTCAAAAAATCTTTTTGGGGGAGCTGGCCTAGATACAAGGACCTGTGTGGAGCAGGCAATTCCAAGATCCAACCCTGAGGCAATGGAAAGTGGACTAGGCTCCGGTGGTGGTGATGGAGAGATGGTGAGAGATTTGAGAGTTGTTTGGGAGCCAGAATTAGAAGAACTTGGCCCAAATTGGGTGTAGCAAGTGCTGCGCTTGCTACTTTCCCAGGTTGAAAATGCCTCCCTTTGGCAGCCGCAGCTGCCCTTGCGTGTGCGTGCTCGTGCATGCGTGTGCTCATGCATGGGCGCACGTGCACAGGTGGGAGGGACGATCAAAGGAAGATCCAGGCACCTCTTTAAGTAAAAAAGGCAAAATTGTGAACATAAGATTAAGTATAGGCCTTTAGAAAGGGACTGTGAAGTCAAGGAGACCCACATTTTAAATTCATTAGCTTCAGGGTAAAATCACCTCCAGTGCTGATGGTGAGGCGGTACTTCCTGCTTGTGAACAGGCGCAAAGCTGTACGGGAACCACGTGCTTGAAATGAAGTTGGCTCCCTGTGGGTGCTGAGCGCCTCAGTCCTCTGCCTGCAGTGCCTGGCAGACAGTCATAAAGCAAGTAGCTATTAAATACCATTTAGGGAAGGCCTTCGGTGGGCCATGCGCTCTGTGCCAGGCACTGTAGCTAGACCCCCTACCCCACCTCCGGGCTTTATGCTCCCAGTCTTAGAGGTGAGGAGGACAGTGGCCAGAGGGGAAGAGTTTCTTGCCCAAGTTCCCCCAGACTAGCAAGAGGATGAGCTGGGAATTGAACTCAGGACTATATAACTGCGAATCTGTGGTCTCTTCAAAGGCTAGCTATTAATACAAAGATACACAGCCAAATTTGTGGAGTAAATGGTTTAGTGAATGAGTTAGCGCATGAATGAATAATAAATGAACAAGTGATGAAATGAGCTAGTGAAAGGATCAAACGAAGAAGAGAGAAAAGTCAGTAATGAAATAACGAACTCAGACACGTACTGAACCCTCACTGTGTGTCAGGTGCTGAGCCGGACGTTGGACACCAGCAGAGAGCACGGCAGACGCAGTCTCTGCTCTTCATGTTTTGTTTTTTTTTTAATTTTTTGAGACAGAGTCTCACTTTGTTGCCCAGGCTAGAGTGAGTGCCGTGGCATCAGCCTGGCTCACAGCAACCTCAAACTCCTGGGCTCAAACAATCCTCCTGCCTCAGCCTCCCAAATAGCTGGGACTACAGGCATGCGCCACCATGTCCGGCTAATTTTTTCTATATGTATTAGTTGGTCAATTAATTTCTTTCTATTTATAGTAGAGACGGGGTCTTACTCTTGCTCAGGCTGGTCTCGAACTCTTGACCTCCAGCAATCTGCCCGCCTTGGCCTCCCAGAGTGCTAGGATTACAGGTGTGAGCCACCGCGCCCAGCCAGTCTCTGCTCTTTGGAGGCTTGTTGGCTAGTGGGGGAGCCATATACTGTGTAGCAAGAGAGGAGAAGTGAACAGGGTGCCCTGAGAACTTACAGGTGGCCCTCACCTGTCTGGGGGACTCAGAAGGCTTTTAACATTTGAGCTGATCCCTGAAAGGATGGATCTGTAGGCGCCTGCTGGAGATGGGGAGTGGGGAGTGGGGCCCAGCGTGTAGAAGGCCCACCCCCAACTGGGAGAGCCTGGCTCTCTGCAGTAAGTCAACGGAGTCGAGCATGGGTGGAAGGAGATGGGAAGGGGACATATGGAGGGGCAAGAGGGTGAAAAGGAGACTGGGACCAGAAACAGGAGGGCCTTCTAGGTTTGCTAACAACTGGGGGCTCTGTCCTAAAGACAACAGGAAGCCATACAGGGATTTAGGCAGGGGGCTGACATGGAGATGGTCTTGGCTGTCTGGAGGGCCAATGGGGTGAGTGACCTTATTCTCCTTGGCCTTCACTTCTTGGCGTATACAATGGGGCAATAATATTTAACTTCCAGGAGTAGGCTGCACAGTGGGTGTTGAAAAGGCACTCTTGCCCTGACTTGGTTTCCTTCTGCATCTCCTCCCAGGGGCCCACTCCTGCTTCAGAACACCATGCATGCAGGTGAGCTGTCCCTACGATTCCGCAGGGAGGGTGGCCCGGGGTGCGGGTAGGAGAGGACTGGGGGATTCATCCAGCAGTTCTGGGCTGTGGTAGGCTCTGCTTTGGATAACTGCTCCCTGTTCTCCACGTAGACTGCCTCACCCAGAACAGGCAGACTGTTAAGGGCTGTAGGCAGCTCTGTCAGTGTTGCTCTGAGAATCTAGTGTCGTGGCCACATGCAGAGTAGTTCTAGCAACTTAGGGGTTTGCCTCTGGCTTGGAGCAACCCAATCTCCCAAGGCTCAGGGGTCCTTGCTGGTGAACTTAGGTCACCAAGTCACATGTGGCCAGTTGTAAGTAGGGTAACCCATAAGACACTCTTTCTTCCCTTTTTCTACCTTAAAGTGGAAGAAGTTCCTCATTTGTCTGTAGACTTCCAGCTGTGTGCCTGTGCTAGGAGCTGGGGACGCCCTAGGGACAAAGATATATACATTCCTTGCCATCACAGAGCTTGTCTCTAGCAAGGGCTAGGCCACTAAGTGGGTCATTGGAACAAAGTGTGATGAGCATTTTGCTCGAAGGAGTGGGATTGGCCAAGGATAATGGGAGGAGGTTCAAAGGGAAGGCAATTGCATTTGTTCAGGGCCGCAAGCTGAGAGGAAGCAGATTGTGGCCAAAGAAGGGAAACTCATGGGCTGTTGCTGGAACTGAGAGAGCAAGGAGGGAAGCAACAAGTGATGGGCTGGAAAGGAGGGCTGGGCATGGCCACCAAGGTCCTTGTAAGTCACAGCAAAGGGCTAACGATAGTGGGAACTCTAGAAAGGCTTTAACGGGTGTGGGAGGGCCGCATTTGTCTTTTCTCTTTCTCAGGAGGACTGCAGGGAACGCGACAGCTGGCTGTTGAAGAGAAGGGCGTGGTGGTGTTGAGAGACCTCCAGACTGGACATGGCCCTGAGTCCAGTGGCTAACCAGGTCCTTCCTGAAGACCCAAAGATGATACCAAGTCTCAAAGCCTGTGGGGCCCCCGTTTTAGGCCTTGGTACCATTCCTGGGCCCAACCCAGATATGACTGTTGTTCCTACGTTGAACCCACCCCCAAGTCCTGGCTTGCCTCTCATTCCAGATCTTAACCCAACTCTGAGTCCTGTCTCAGGGACCAATAACACGTCCAGGCCTGATGACAGCAGGGCCATGGCTCCTGCCTCCCTCCAGGTCACCAGTTCTCGCTCTGGTGAAGCCTTGGGCCTGGATTTGAGTCCCATCTTGAGGCCTGACACACAGGGGACTCTCCGACCAGCCTCAAACCCCATTCTGAGCTCTGGCTCTACTGAGCCCGCCAGTCAGAGTTCCGAGAACCACCCTGGGTCAAATTCTGAACAGGCCTTCAAGTGCCTCCCAAGCAAGACTTTTGATTTGGGTCAGAGTAACTCCAATCCTTCCAGGCCCGAATTAAACCCGTTTATAAGGCACCGTTCTGGAGAATCCCTGGTTCTGGGCTCCTGTGTCTCCAGGCCGGGCTCAAAAGCTCTGCTTATTCCAGCCTCAAACTCTTCTCTGGATCTTGACTCCAGTCAGCTGCTCGGTGCAGGCTCAAGAAACACCTCCAACCCGAACCTGAATGTAGCTCCAGATTCCTGTGGGACCCTAATCCCGGACACAAATGAGATCCTCACTTTGGCTTCACATAACATCTCCGGGTCAGTTTCGAAAGGAGCCTTTGGTGCAACCTGGAGCACAAGTTCCAAGGGAACCATCAATGTGGCTTCAAACGGATACCCCAGACCTGATTTGAACATGACCGTCACTCAGGCCTCGTGTGTCACCCTGATTCCTGGCCCCAGCGAGGGTATCAGCTTGCACTCCAGCACTCCTGGACCCAACTCCAACATCTCCCCACCCTCGTGCGTGACCCTGCTCCTGGGCTCCAATGAGACTCTGAGCCTGGGCTCCAGCCTCATGTTCAGCGACACCTCCACTTTGACGCTGAGCAGCCAGCAGGAGTATTCTGAGGACAACAGCATCCGCACCGTACCCCTGGAGGGGAACCTGGGGAGTTGGGGCGAGATGGCTGGCCTGGAGGTGGGCCAGTTCCCGCTGGGGCTCCCCAGCTCCAACACCGCCAGCCAGGACCTGGGCTTCCAGTGCATCTCGGACGGTGAGTAAGGCACGGGCCACCGCCCTGGAGAGGGCACTGACCTGGAAGAAACTCTGTGTTCAGACTCAGGGAGGGAGTGGGGAGGAGAAAGGAAAGGGACAGCACGAGATAGACACCATAACATACAATCTATTCATTCTACACAAGTCATCTGGTTCTTGGTCTTTGCTGGCTCCGTGACTTGGGACAAGCTGCTTAATCTCCATGAGCTTCCGTTTCCTTAACTGTAATATCACTATATAGTAATACTTCTACTCTGCCCAAATTATAAGTCTATTAACTAACTATACCTTCCATTCAAAATGTATGCCTCTTTCTCCCTTGATAAATTTCAGACCTGACTTCTCAGGCCAAAGTATGACCAGTGACTTTGGAGCAGGCAGGCTCTAGGCTCAGCTCACCTCTGTTAAGACTTTGGGGTCCCCACCTGGGCATCCTGTCTGGATGGAGCCTGTGCCTCAGGCCTGATGTACAGGAGTTCTGCAAATCAATCCCCTGGCAGTTTCTGATACTGTCAATATCTTCCCCCAATCGATTTTTATTTGTGTATCAATACTATATATATATTATATTTTTTGAGACAGTCTCACTCTGTCACCCTAGGTAGAGTACAGTGGCCTCATCACAGCTCACCGCAACCTCAAACTCCTGGGCTCAAGCAATCCTCCTGCCTCAGCCTCCTGAGTAGCTGGGACTATAGGTGTGTGCCGCCACGCCTGGCTAATTTTTTCTATTTTTTGGTAGACATGGGGTCTTTCTCTTGTTCACATAGATCTTGAACTCATGACCTCAAGCAATCCCCCTACCTTGGCCTCCCAGAGTGCTAGGATTACAAGCATGAGCCACCATGCCCAGCCGCAATACCATATTAATATTTTAAAAATTGCCACACATTCCAGCACTGGATGTACTTTTTTTTCTTTTTTTTTTGAGATAGTGTCTTGCTCTGTTGCCTAGGCAAGAGTGCTGTGGTGTCAGCCTAGCTCACGGCAACCTCAAACTCCTGGGCTCAAGTGATCTAACTGCCTCAGCCTCCCAAGCAGCTGGGACTACAGGCATGTGCCACCATGCCTGGCTAATTTTTTCTATGTTTAGTAGAGATGGGATCTCGTTCTGGCTCAGGCTGGTCTCAAACTCCTGACCTCAAGCAATCCTCCTGCCTTGGCCTCCCAGAGTGGTAAGATTACAGGCATGAGCCACTGTACCCAGCCCAGGCCTGGATGTATTGCACACACACACAAAAAATTACCATGGCTTTGTGAATATATGTTCATAATGGCTAGGGTGAGAATCTCTCTTTAAAATTCTTCTTAAAATTGACCTAGCTGTGAGTAGATCTTCATTCTTCCTTACATGTTTTAGAATGCATTTGTCTAGGTCCTCAAAAGAATCTTGGTGAAATTTTTATTAGAATGTTATTAATTTATCCACTTACTCAGGTTTTCCTTTATATAGGATATATGCTTTACTTGAATTTAAAAAATTCTTCATAGGGGTCTATTGCATCCTTTGATGGGTTGGTCCTAGATACTTTACTGATTTTATTGCTATTGTGAGTCATATCTTATTTTCAAATACAATTCCTGTTTGGTATTGATGTTGCTGATGATGTAGAAGAGCTTTGTTTTTCCAAGTTTATCTCCTTTTTTAAACAACTTTGTGGAGATATAATTTACTGTATAAATACAATTCACCCTCTGAAGCATACAATTTAATACCTTTATTATATACACAGAGCTGTGCAACCATTGCCACAATCACTTTCAGAACATTTTTATAATCCCCAAAATAAAGCCTGTATCCCTTAGACATCACCCGACCCATGCAACCCAGCCCCAGGCAATCACTAATCTATAATACTTTCTCTCTCTATAGCCTGTCTGTTTTGGACACTTTATGAATAGAATCATGTAATATGTGGTCTTTTGTGATTGGCTTTTTTCGCTTAGCAGAATGTGTTCAAGGTTCATTCATGTTGTAGCATGTATCGATCCTTCATCCCTTTTTATGGCTGAATAATATTTCACTCTATGGACGTACCACATTTTGCTTATGTCAGTTGATTGCCATTTGGGTTGTTTCTGTCTTTTGGCTATTTTAAATAATGCTACTCTAAACATTCAGGTACAAGTTTTTGTGTAGATATGTTTTCGTTTCTCTGTGGTATGAACGTGGGAGTGGTATTGCTGCGTCATATGGTAATTATATGTTTGTTTGAGGGACTGCTAGACTGTTTTCAACAGCAGCTGTGCCATTGTTCACTTCCGCCAGCAGGGTACGAGGATTCCAGTTTCTCCATGTCCTCATCAACACTTGTTACTGTCAGTCTTATCAGAGCCATCCCAGTGGGTATGAAGTGGTATCTCATTATGGTTTTGATTTGTTTCCCTGGCTAATGATTTTCAGCATTTTTTCATATGCATTTATTGACCATTTGTGTATTTGCTTTGGAAAAATGTCAATTCGTTTTATCATTTTTCATTTTTGCCCATTTAAAAAATTGGTTGTTTGTCTTTTTATAATTGGGTTGTAAGAATTCTTTATGTACACTGGATTAAAGTCCCTTATCAGATATATGATTTGCTAATATTTTCTCCAATCCTGTGGGTTGTCCTTTCACTTTCTTGATAGTATCCTTTGAAACATAAAAGTTTTTAATTTTAATAATTTCTAATTTATTTAATTAATATTTAAATTTGCTTTTATTGTTTGTGCTTTTAGTGTCATGTTTAAAGAAACCATTGCCTTAACCAAGGTCCTGAAGATTTATGCTTATGTTTTCTTTATTTTATTATTTTTTTATTATTTTATTTTTTGAGACAAAGTGTTACTCTGTTGCTCTGGCTCACAGCAACCTCAAATTCTTGGGCTTAAGCGATCCTCCTGCCTCAGCCTCCTAAGTAGCTAGGACTATAGGTGCATATCACCATGCCTGGATAATTTTTCTGTTTTTTGTAGAGATAGGGTCTTGCTATTGCCCAGGCTTGTCTCGAATGACTGGCCTCAAGTGATCCTTCCATCTCAGCCTTCTGAAGTGCTAGGATTATAGGCATGAGCCACTGCACGTGGCCTAACTCTTACTTTTAGATCTTTGATTCATTTTGAGTTAATATTTATTTATTTATTTGTTCGTTTGTGTTTTAGAGACAGAGTCTCACTCTGTTGCCCAGGTTAGAGTGCAGTGGCTCAATCATAGCTCGCTGTAACGATGAACTCCTGGGTTTTAGTGATCCTCTTGCCTTAGCCTCTTGAGTAGCTAGGACTACAGGTGAGCACCACCACACCTGGCTAATTTTTTAAAAAAAATTTTTTTGGTAGAGACTAGGTCTCACTAAGTTCCCCAGGATGGTCTCAAACTCTTGAGTTCCAGAGATCCTCCCACCTTGGCCTCCCAAAGTGCTGAGATTATAGCCACTGTGAATGACCTTGACTTAATTTTTGTATATAGTGTGAGGTAGAGATCCAACTTCATTTATTTTGCACATGGTGTTCAGTATTATTATGATACAATTCACAAACCATATAATTCACCCATTTAAAGTGTGTGATTCAATAGCTTTGGCTATATTCCATTTTTTTAATTAAAAAAACTCCCCACCTCCCCATTTCTGTTATGGTAAAATGCACATTACATTAAATTTACAATTTTTAACCATTTTTAAGTGTACAGTTAAAAATAAGTGGTATTAGAGATATTCATAATGTTGTGCAACCGATACCACTATCATGTCTCTATAACTCTTTTCATCTTATGAAACTGAAGCTCTTTACCCTCCCCTATTCCCTGGCAACCACCATCTCTGTCTCCCTGATTTTGACTACTGCAGGGACCACATATACCAACTTCATTCTTTTGCAAGTGGTTATCCAGTTTTACCAGCACTATTTGTTGAAAAAACTGTCCTTTCTTCAGTGAATGGTTATAGCATCTTTGTCAAAAATAAATTGACCTTATATGTGAGGGTTCATTCTGGGTTCTCTGTTCTATTTCATTGGTCTCTATGTCTGTCCTTATGCCCATATCACACTGTTTTGATTACAATAGTTTTGTAGCAAGTTTTGAAATCAGAAAGTATGATTCCTCCAATTTTGTTCTTCTTTCAAGATTGTTTTGTCTATTCAGGGTCAATCTTTGCTTTTTACAGGGGATTATTGTTCATTTGTATTTAAAAAATTTATTTTCAAATTGTGTCAATTTATTTCACAAATTCAAATTGTGTTTCAATAGCCTTTTAATTTTTTTTTTTCTGAGGCAGAGTCTTGCTCTGTTCTCTGGGCTAGAGTGCCATGGCATCAGCCTAGCTCACAGCAACCTCAAACTCCTGGGCTCAAGCAATCCTTCTGCCTCAGCCTCCTGAGTAGCTGGGACTACAGGCATGTGCCACCATGCCTGGCTAATTTTTTTGGTATATATATTTTTTTAGTTGGTGAATTAAAATTTCTTTCTATTTTTAGTAGAGACGAGGTCTCACTCTTTCCCAGGCTGATCTTGAACTCCTGACCTTGAGCGATCCTCCCACCTCGGCCTCCCAAAGTGCTAGGATTATAAAAATTTTTTTGAGGTCTAACATGTATCAGTAAAATATGTAAAGTGCTCTATTAATTTCAAGTGTACAGCTTAATGAATATTTGCCTAAGTATACATTCTGGTAACTGCCATTCAGATCAAGATATAGATCTTTTTTAGCAGCCTGGAAGTTTCCCTGTGCTCCCTTGTGGTCCATATCCCTTCTCCTGGAACAAGATTTCTTGACTTTGGCATTATTAACATTTTGTATTGGCTAATTCTTTGTGTGTGTGTGTGTGTGTGTGTGTGTGCTGTTCTAAGCATTGTAAGATGCATCATCCTTGGACTCTACCCAGTAGATGCTACCAGAAACCTCCCACTGTCACCCCCAAGTTGTGAAAACCACAATGTTTTTAGACTCTGCCAAATGTTCCTTGGGGGACAAGATTGTCCTTGGTTGATAACCACTGTCCCAGAGGTAACAATTCTTCTG